AATATTAATATATAATTATATATTATTATTACTTACTCTTATTATATTAGTAGTATTAGTATTAGAAGCCACCATCCACTGAGCACTTTGTGTTATGTGTTGGGCATTGCTCCAGGTGCGTTTAAATCTTATATCATTTGATCCTTATAACAACCCTCTGATTTTAATACTATCCTTTTACGCGTACTATCATTGTACCCATTCGGCAGACAAGAAGACTGAGGCCCAGGGACGTAACTTACCGAAGATCATTCAGCTAAGCAGGTAACAGAGCTGAGTTTTGAACTGTGTCATCCCCACTCTGGAACTCCGGGCCCTCGAGCGCATTCACCCAAAAACCTTAGATTCAGGAGACAGAAGGCAGCACAGCCGGTGGCCCTAAGCAGACCCGGGCTCCGTAACTCAGTTTCAGTTGGCTCTCTCTTGGTTTCCTCATCTGAGCAATGAGTCACCGAGGTGAACCTACCTCACTGGTTTAGGGGAGGCTTTGTGGAGTTGACGTGTGATAAAGCAGTAACGGGCTCGGGTGGATGGTAGACCATAGCCCCCCAACGTCAGCATGACCTGCCCCTGAGGCTCTCTGCTGGCTCTCATGGGCACTCCCCAGAGCTCTAGCTGGCATTGACGCAACAGGAAAAGCGGAGGGAAGTGGGAGTGTTGCCCTCTGCCCTCTCCTCCCTGCCAAGTAGTTGCCAAGAGGCCCAGCCACTTGTGTGTGTGTGTGTGTGTGTGTGTTTGGAGTTTGGCATGCTGCTTTCATATTATTTTCATCACTAGAGTAAAAGGTGTGCAGCTTTTAAAAATTCAAACCCTCACCAGCTGTGTGACCTTGGGCAAGTCGCTTAACCTCTCTGTTCTTCAGCTTCCTCGCCTGTAAAATGAGAATAATACTCTTCCTACCTTAGAGGTGTCACGAGCGTTCAGGAAGCGAATCAGAGTGGAGAGCTGAACGCAGTGCCTGGTCCACAACGAGCATTAGCTGTGTGGTAGCAGCTGGTACCTGCTGGTACACACGCCCTCTCTCCCCACCCTCAGACCCCACCCTGCCCAGCTTTTACTGGTCAAAATCCAGGAAATCTTCTGCATGTTGGCAGCTCAACCAACTGTGGTATTTCCCTTTGAATATATCAAACAGAAATGCAACATCCAAAACCCACTGTGTCATCTCTTTATCTTTTCCACATAATGACTGTGTTTTTAATCTGTTTCCCTATCTGCACACACATCAGCCCTTTCCTACAGCAGCTTGAGTATCAGCCCGCTGGCTGGATGGGCCGTGCTCACCAACCAGCCTCGGACTGTAAATAAAGGACATTTAATGATAATCACGAATAGCCTTATTATTTTATCCTCATTTTGTACAGTAAATTTGATTCATATAAAAAACAATGAATTATATTCATATAGTTATATATATACAAAACATAATTACCATCATCATCACTATTATTTTACAACAATTAAGATAGCAGATGACATTTTTTAAAGATTTTATTTATTTATTTGAGAGAGAGCACATGAGACGGGGGAGGGTCAGAGGGAGAAGCAGGCTCCTCGCTGAGCAGGGAGCCCGATGCGGGACTCGATCCCGGGACTCCAGGATCATGACCTGAGCCGAAGGCAGTCGCTTAACCAACTGAGCCACCCAGGCGCCCAGCAGATGACATTTATCCAGCATCTATTATGCACCAGGCATAATCCTTATAACAACTGTATGAAGTAAGAACTATTGTTATGCCCCATTTCCCAAACCGTCAGCTACTTTGGGCTCCACCGTCTCCCCAGCATCTAGAACGGCATCTGGCAAAAATCAGGCACTTCGTTGGTATTTGGTGAGTAAAAGAATAAAGAGCGAAACTGAGGCACAAAGCAGCAAAGGGGACACTTAGGTTTCTTTCGGTTCCTTAAGCTCACAGGCACCCGTGTGCATGCTCTTGGCACGTGTGTGTTTGTAAATCAGCTAGTCTTGTCAGAACTTCTGCTCTGGGGACCCGTGGGGCTGAATTGACTTAAACCGAACATAGGATACTTCGCCCCTCCCCCCAGAGAAGCATACATATGCTCATCAAAAGACGTGTGCCAGGAAAGACATGTTCACAGCAGTCCCTGATGGGAAACCACCCAAAAAGTCACCCCAAGGAGAATGAATAAACATACCATGGTATGGGGCGCCTGGGAGGCTCAGTCGTTAAGCATCTGCCTTTGGCTCAGGTCATGATCCCGGGGTCCTGGGATCGAGCCCCGCATCGGGCTCCCTGCTCAGCAGGGAGTCTACTTCTCCCTCTCCCTCTGCTGCTCCCCCTGCTTGTGCTCTCTCCTCTCTCTCAAATAAATAAATAAAATCTTTATTAAAAAAACATAGCATGATAGATTCATGCAGTGGAATACTCTATAGCAGTGAGGATGAACAAAGCACACACACAAATGTGGATGGATTTCATACATATACTGCTGGGGAAAGAGGCAAACAGACACGCAGGGGAGGTGACTGAGTGATACCATTCACATCAAGTTCAAAAACGAGTAGAAGAGTTCTGTGGGGGGTGGGTAGCGACTGGGGGAACAGGAGGGCACGTCGGCACCAGGCTTATCCTATTCCTTGACCCGGGTGCTCAGTATCTGTGCACATTTGGCTCGTGGAGATACACAGAGCTTCCCAGCTCTGACGTGCGTGTGTCTGTTATCTGTGAAAATAGAGTTAAAGCTTCTTTCTTAAGAAGTGGAATTGGAGGGGCGCCTGGGTGGCTCAGTTGGTTAAGTGTCTGTCTTGTGCTCGGGTCATGATCGCAGGGTCCTGGGTTCAAGCCCCACATCAGGCTCCCTGCTCAGTGGGGAGTCTGCTTCTCCCTCTGCCTCTGCCTCTGCCTCCTCCCCCCTGCTCATGCTCTGTTTCTGTCTCTCTCTCTCTCTC